AGTTGGTTCGTGTACCGTATGTGACCCTCGCAAGGAAACAACCTCTTTACCGAAAATACAGTTGATATCGTCCGAACTAGTCGAGGCAGTGTCAAGCGATGTGGGTGAGCTTCCACCAATAGTAGCGATCGGCTCAGGAAAGGGACAGCCCATGGTAGAGAACTCCACTGACTGATTGCGGTGATAACAACTGTGTGTATACGTCGCAAAGGCATCAGCCCACAACGCTTCCAGTTGAATGAAAGGTGCTGCGACACGCTGAACAAGATTTCAAGCTACAAAGGTACCTGCGCAGACTCTGTAGCTTGTCAGGGGGATGGATTCAGCGCTGCGCCAGGCCGCTCTCCACTGACTGTTAAGGCAGGCAAGCGACAGCATTCAGTAGGAGAGTATGGCGCCGCGTCAAACCCAGCTCCTCAACATGCTCCTGCGTCTGCAGCGAAAACAACTGTCGCCTGAAGTTTCGTTCAGTGTGGCGCCAGACGACGATAGGGATAGAGGAGATTTAGAAAGGGTGACTATGCAAAGGAATTGATTTTTGGGAGAGTTTCAGTCGGAGGTAGTTAGAGGAGCTCTTCTCGATCTTGCGGGAACGGTTCGTCTTTATGCCCGGAATGCCCACTACGCAGCGTTCAGACTTCGCGATGCCGCGCGTCAACGCGCCACCATTGCACTAACGCTTCAATGCACAGACGCGTGGATATCGATTGACGCCGGCCGCTTGTGTGTTGAGACAGTAAAGGATGACAGGAGAGCAGGTACTGCCTTCACACAGTCAGAAATTATAGGGGAGGAAGGCTCAAATAAGTGTTGCATGGATGAAATGAAGAAAAACAGTATCGAAAGAACCTTCTCACCTCCTTTACCCGTTTCCTCGTTTCTACCGTTTTCGCCACTTTCGCCATTTTCGCCACCACCAGGAGGGGCCTCGGCGGCCTTACCGCTCATGTCCGATCTCTCTTAGCAACCTCTAGCAATCAGTATCGATTCCTAGCCAGGGCACGTTGTACGTAGGGGAAATTCAACGGGAGGGAGGTCGTATTTGATGGCTCTAGGGAGGGAGGTCGTATCTGGCCTTGAGGAATTTGGCAACGCTGAACTACTTTCACCCCAGACTTTCAAGAAAAGAAAATCCCTAAAACTGCGCCCCCGCCAAGAACGAATAACTTTATGATCAGGGCACTGAGTTATCTCTATGAGCTACGTTTCAGCAAAAAAAAACATCTGTTTCGAGCGCTGGCGTCATTTGGCGCCATTATGCGCCAATTTGGCGCCCACCACTTTTTTCACCAAAGTCGATGAAAACTTGCATATGGGGGTTAATTGAGGTCCTGATTACGAATCCAACATTTATTTTTGGCGCTGGCGCCATTTGGCGCCATTACGCGCCAATTTGGCGCCATAGCGGCGCATAATGGCGCCAAATGGCGCCAGCGTTTGAAACCCAGTGTGATATCCGTGATCAGCGCATCGAATTACATCCATAGGAAACGTTTCAGCGAAAAAATTTTTTGAGTCTTTTGGGGTAGGAGTAGTTCAATAGTGCCAAAAAACTTGACTGTATCGGGCGGAGCTGGGTGTAAGGTGTAGGTGTAACTTAAATTGTCGAACTTTGTTGAGTGAAATGTCATTACAAGAATGCTGAGTTGTGGGCAAAAGTCGAACCCAGGCGGGAGTCGAACCCGCACCTCACGCTTTCCGGGCGAGTGCGCTATCCGTTACGCCACCAGCCGCTTTTACCCTCTCAGCTCAACGGTTTTATGCCGTAGCCTTACAGCACTCACACGTTTAACTTGGTGAGCCGGTCAGCCGTAATCGTTAGATATCGGCAATGAACCGCTAGGCCGAAGGCTTTACAAGTTTTTGAAGCTGTTTTGTTATGAGTGAAGAATGCTTGTGCATGAACCAGATTTGAAGGCAAGTTTCACTCACTTTCGCGGATCGAATCTAGCGATACCTGAGTGACGCGCTCATACTCCGCTTGCACTGCCACACGGCCAACCGCATGCCTAACCATAGCCTGACGCGCTACTTGTCCGCGCCCTCTCACTTATACTTGTTCTCTAGCAGTGACTGCTTGTTCCACGCAGATTTTGTTAGCGATGAAAGCGCTACACATTGAGAGTAACGCGGGAAGGGTACGCAGATACCGCTAACCTCCCAATTCCTTTCCGTTTCCGCTCTTTTGAATGGATAAGGTAACACAACACGATTCCGCAGCTACCAACCTATTCGCCTCGACCATGGTAAGTACCAAACTCGGAACGACCTATTCGAACGATCGGTGGTCAGGATTGACGTCTTAGCGATCAGTTTTTGCTATGGACGTACTCCAAAGGTATGAAAGTACATGCAGTACCACTGGGGTGAACACGGTTTGAGGCGATACGTACAGCCCTGATGCAGGGGGTGTAAGGGGGATAGGTCTGAAGCGTTGCGAGCCGGTATCCCAGCTACTTTTGTTAGTAGAGTACGGGCTGACAGCACCAACCCCCTCTCCCCCCCCCTTCCACGACGCAGCACCCGCAGTAAAAAAAATTGTACCTATGCGAATTCCTGCTGTACTGAAATGGGTGGCGCATCTCGAACTGGCATTAGCTACCAGCAAATCCGTCGATCTTCGTAACAAATTAAATTTTTCGTCTCTTTCTTGAATAGGAAATCCAAAACAGCCTCTGCCATTCATCGGTTCATTTATCAACTTTTCAGGTGACAACGAGCACAATGAAATTGACAATGAGTGCTATTAATGTGTTTTCGATGAATGTTTCCACAGCGTCAAATAAGCACCCAACAGAGCACCAGGGCTATCGCGATGGACTGAAATGATCACCGTTTAGGACGATATTATGGAACCCAGCAACTCGGTAAGTTTCATAACTCACTTGTATTGAACTTCATCGCGCTCTTCTTTTCAGTTTTCTTTTCCCCATCTGAAATAAAGAAATAGCTGAGCACAGGTTTAGTGCGGTATCGGGGGGTGGGGCGTACTTGAGTTGTGAGTAGGGAGACCGTATTCTGGGAATGGGGAGATTGATATGGAGTTGGTAGAGAGCAGCCACAAATAAAGTACCAAAGTTACCTTGATGACCGAAATGATTCGGGACGTTACTATAGAACCCGGCAAGTGTTACTGAAGACGAGCACAAGCGATTTACCTGCTCAAGAAGTGAAACGAACGACCCCGTTTTGCTCTTCAGGCATTTATTCCATCACTTTGTAACGTTTCGCCGCTGGGCGCAGTCGGGCTTACGTGGGCGCATTTGCTGATCACGCCGCCGACGATTCTCCATGTGCGATGACCAGAAAACTCATGTAAAGCTACAACGGTTAGAGAGGTGCTGAGGCGGCGTGCTGACCCTCCTTTCACCGATTCTGAATGCTGTACGCGTGTGCTCAATAATCCACGTGACGTTTCGGAGTGCCCAGTGGAAGACCCCGTGGGAAAGGCTTGCTTCACAAAATCTGCCAAAATGGTGTTGATATACACCGTCTAGCCTAGTCTGACAAGCCGACCGGTGAAGAATCTACGACATTCCCTAGGAGAATAAAGAGGCACTCGCGCTGGCCTGAATGCCAGGTGTATCCGACAATATACGCTTGAAAAGTTCCAACGAGTCAAAGCAGGAGATGATTTTCTCCGTCTTGCGTTGCATATTCCAGTCCGTCTAATGGCTTTGAAAAACAACTGTTTCCACCCAGGTGAAAGAAAAAACTGAGTAAAAAAATCGAAAGGTAGAACGAGGAAGTCGGACCTCTCGCTTTTGAATGGTCCGCGGTGTTGGGGGGAGATGTACCTTATGCACCCGAAAATAGTGTATGATCGGAAAAATCTCCTTACCTGCGGCTCCGCTATCAGTAGGGGCTTCAGCGTTAACGTTCACGTCCGACAAGGATACTTCCTTAGTAACCCAACGCCCTTTCGGTGTGTGATTTTTCAACTCAGGTAATCTGGCTAGAAATAGAACATGAACAACGCTGTAGCCGCAAAAAAATCAGTAGATATAAAAAAAAACTGCGTTCATACTTTGCGAAAGCGTCCATCAGCTCCACAGCGTCCACTAGGAGTTTCGAGCGTTCAGACAGCGTTGACGAGAGGCCCGGCATTCTCTAACCCAGCTATCTGCTACCCTCCTATTGCGCCATAATCTCTACCAGCAGTCTATTATCCTCCTACCTCTCCATACTATACCAGCTCCTACCGCACCATACTCTACTGTCCCGGACGCCGGTGCACGCTGGCACATGCTGGTAGACGCTGGATCTATACCTATACTTCCCAGGTCCTCGAGACGCTGGTGGACGCCGATACGACGCTGACGAAGGCTACAACTTTCCCAGTCGCTGACGCTGCCGGACGCTCGAAACGTTGGTGGACACTACGCAAAGGGTGGGAGCAGCCTAAGAAGACTACGCCAAAAAGTTGGCTCAGTCCAGGAGTGTTTGGATGTGGTTGGCCTCCAAAGAAAAAAAGAGGGACAAAGAACCTTTTGCGAATAGCTCTCATTCTATAATAGGTATACTCGAAATCCCTGATATCGGGTAGGCGTGGCCGCTTATTCAACTCAACCTGAAGGAGTCTATGCTTCTGGTAGATATTTTCCAACTGACACGATTGGTGTCGTGGTCTCTGTGATACCCCAAGCACAGAAAAGATGACAGTTGTCCCAGACTGGAATAGATTCCACGAGTAACCAATTGCCATATTCAAATGCCACGCCCACCCTGGCTCAGGGATAAAGAGTGTATCTGAACAGCGCTGTTCCCACGACGTGTATGTTCTATCCACCCGGAGGGCCGCGGAGTAGCACTCTTATGTTAAGAAGCATCTCATTAAGGCCGGGGGGGGGGGGGAGTCGGCGTAAGGGAGGATGGGAGAGTAAGGTGACCGTACTCGGCAAGTGTAGAGGAAATTTTCTTTTTTTTTAGTTTTTCTAGTTCCATGAGCGCTATAGCCCACTCTGGCGCGGACTAGGCAAAACCACTACATAACCCTTCCTTTGGGAATTCTTAGTTTTATTGATGGTTCACCTCTATGAAGAAGATGCACTAGATCGTGCAATGTGGCAAATGCCGATTCGAAAACGGACCTTGCACTAACGGGAAATTAACATGAAGAAGAAGAGAAGGTTCCGAATGGTAATTGAACGAGGAGTCCCCCCCCCACTCCCGCTCACACCCTCTCGATGCTACACTTCCGAGGGAAACCGGTGAACTTTTTGGAAAATTTCATAGGACGTTAGACGAAACTGGTAAGGTGGTAGACTGGTTGTGAAAGAGGGTCGTAGTCAAAGCAAATTCTGGGAGATACACTGACACCACCCCCCCCCCCCACTCGTTTCACCCATCAACATGTCAACATGCTGTACATTGACCCCAACCCGACTTCGGGCAGCTAACATACAATAAAAGCCTAAACGATTTCTGTACACTCTTACTTTCACAACATTGGAATTTTTAAAAATGCATACCCCCTAATGCGTAGGGACCTCTTGCAAGGAGTATGTAGTAAGAGCCGCTCAGCTCAAATAGCTCTGTTCTGTTCTCTGGTTTCACCTTCTGCCTGCAAAATGACGGAGCTGGACTTCCTACCCTGAATTCGGCCGCAAGGCAGCGTTCAGACTTCGCGACGGCAGCGCTTCGGTCGCGCGATTCGACGATCGATGCGCATGCTTTCGACTGCATCGATCGCGTCGAACGCGCGACCGAAGCGCTGCCGTCGCGAAGTCTGAACGCTGCCTAAAACCGTGCCATCGTATGGATCCGTAAGCAAGGTACAGCATCGCTGTGTGAAACACATAGGGGGTTGGAATTTTCCGCTGGGGAGGGAGGAGTGGGGGGGTCCAAGACCATCTCCTTGTGGGTGGGTATCGTACTGACACCACCATTTCACGATGCTGTACCCTGTCCGTGAGTAACTGATTGTGAGGTACCATTGGATATGAGACCGCGGTTATAGTCAGTTTTCTGGGAGACTTGGCAATTCTGTGAAGAGCATTATGCGTATCGATTGGTAAGTGCACCCAACAGGGAAATCGATAAAACAGCGGCCCAAGTTCTGCACCCCTCTCAGGGCACATCGTTGTTGGGGAAGCCCCAATAGGGGGTCGTATTTGGTCGCCAGGAGGGGGGTCGTATTTGGGCTGAGAAAAATTTATTTTGATAGTTGATTTTTCTCGCTTCATGGACGTTGTAAAGGGAGGGGGGACGTATTTGAATCATTTGGGAGGGGGGGTCGTATTTGCGTTTATGTGGTTTGTAGAGGTGGGTTGATCTTTTGTGGTTTTTCTGTTGCACTTACTATATCCGCGCCCCCACTTGACCTAAAAAATTTTTGGGGTAATACAAGCAGGGAAGTTTTCGGGGAACTCGCGGCTTTTCCTGTTTTACATGTGCTATTTACCACCCCCACCCACCCCCGCTCGACGACTCGATTCGATGAGGAAGGACAGAGGGCTGGGAGGGAGGGGTCGTACCAACTCCCAAAAAAGTGGGAGGGGGTCATATAGAGTCGACTAAACTCCCCAACCAATGATGTGCCCTTTCACCTCTACACAGACTTTCAGGCAAATTATGCAAAAGTAAATTTTCGTGGACATTTTAGTGTTGTCTCTCTAGGAAGGTCTTACATTATTTTAACACTGTTATTTGACCATATGTTTTCCGTGACACGATATGCCGCTTTGAACACCATTTTTATCACTAAATAAGAGTTGGATATTCTTGTGCGGAACTCGAACCATTGAAAACTACAAGCAATATTTTCAAAAAAAAATTCACTGCTATAGAATACATCGTGAATGGCACCAGTTTATCCTCAACACTCGGATCGCCCAGCTATCGCAGAGCGCCTGGCGATGCCATGTCATGGCCAGCTTCGCCGAGCCAGCTTATTGTTAGCTTCGCCAGGCGCTCTTCCGCTGGCCTAGCTAGGATGCGCTTAAAATGTGCCAACTCATCACAGTGCATTGCTAGCTAAAGTGCAGAAAGGTAAGCTGAAAATAGCTCTGAGTCAGTCATCACTTATGTATACCCCTTATCCCTGAGACAGAGTAGGCGTGGCATTTGAACATGGCATAGAATGGGTTACTCGTGGCATAATTCAGTTCGAGTCAACTGTCATCTTGTTCTGTATTGGACAGAGACACAACCATAATTATTCAAAAAGGAAATAATCTCGCTGAAGCAGCAACCACTCGTCACGTTTAATTGAAGATGGCGGCCCAACGCCCTATCTTAATCTCAGGGATTTTGACTGTGCATCTGGTCCGTCTCACAAATCTTGATCTTTCAAGGCAGTTTTTCACGATGATTCGGTGCTCGGCCTAAAGTGCTAGTAGGGCACTATATAATGAGGAAATGGCGAAAGAACAGAGCGAAACGGTCAGAATCCTGCGAAGAAAGAGCCTCCGTTTTCAAGTGTTAAAAATCAATTTTGGACGAGTTTCCTGTAGGCATCTTGCCAATAACCGCTACCGAAAGTACGGCTGCATATGT